CGGGGACAATCAACATTTTAGAAAAAGAAGTGCAAAAAAAAGAATTGACTGGAAAAAAATATTTCGAGATAATTCAAGAAAAAAAAAACCTTTAAAGAAAAAAATTATTATTAAAAAAAATTTGGGAAAACAAATCTTGCCCGAAAAAACATTTTTTGGGCCAAAAAAAAATTCTTACTTATTTTTTCCAATTTTTTTTTTCCCCAAAAAATGTTTTTTAAAAATTTGGAAAAAATAATTTCAAACAAATATTGAAGAAAAAAAAATGGCCCTCGGTAATGGTGTAATGTGTGTAATCGGTGACAAACAGTCCTCAAGAGGGCGACATGCATTGATTAAAAATATATTCATTTCACTAGCTGGGAAAATATAACACTGAAAAGTGATCGGCCAGGACACATAAAAAAAACAATTTGGATTTTCGCAATTGTTATCACGTGACGTGCTCTGGACCAATCACATCTCGGTATCTGTCTAAGCTATCTAATATTACCGTTTGCCTAACAGTAAATGTATGTCGGGAAAACAGAAACTTAATTTCTGAAAAGAGGTAGAGCACAGCACTGCCAAAGTTGTGCATTTTGCACGGCACTGCGGTCTTCTACAGCTGCCTGCTAGCCCAGCTACACTAACGGCCACACCCACGGAGAGTCCAAAATTCCCCGGGTTAGCTGATAGCGGCCCCTGACCGAGAATCAGGTTTGCTTAGTTCAATAAAGCATCTTAAAGACGTTAGAAACTACCCGTCAATACTAAATGAAAATAAAACAAAACAAAATGTAAGTATTTCTGCCAAATAGTTGAATTCCTTCCCAGTTAGTCACATCTGGAACCCGTTTCACAAAGCTTTTTTTCAATGACAAATGACAAAAAAACAGTGACAAATCTGCAGATAACCAATCAGAAGCAAGGATTTCAGTAATTTAAAACAAAAACTGTAATTTGTCACTGATGACAAGTTTTGTGAAACGCCCCCTGGTTGCTCGGTCAGAATGCATTTGTTTTGTCTCGTGAACTATACGCTGGCGATAAGATTTATGTTTTGAACATTTTTTTTCCATTTCATAAAGTCAGATGATATATAAGGTGAAAACTTGAAAGTTGATGAAAGAAGAAAGATTAAGCAAAGAAAGATCTTACATACCAATTAACCTTGAGTGCACTACTTGAATATGTGCTTATCGATTGTAAAAATTGCGACATATGTCTCATTTGACGTTTGACACGTGACGTCATACGGGTTCGCAGGCTATCCATGAATTGGCGTATTGTGTTAATACACGAATTGTCGCTTTGCCGATGTATGTGCATACTCTACTAACTTTCCCGTGTTTATATAAAAAGGTTAGAATTTGTGATAAATATCAACATCAAAAATTCAATTTCGATTTGACCCCAAAAACTTCGGCTTTTTGCTTCTTTATTATTGTAAAGTAAGAAATTTTAGAGTTACAAAAACGCTTTCAAAAAATATTTATTCATCGGCTGGTACGCAACTCCATCTTTGTTCGGTTTTGATGGTCAATGTAACGGACCAATATACATAGTTAAGAATTTGGCGCCTCTAGACAACGCTTTTTTGGCGCGTTTCCGAATGCGCTCTCTTTTGCACATGAAACGCATAATACGCGATTGTGAGAGCACATACGTGCATGTGAAAATTGTGTCATTTTATCGTGGCTTTTGGTAGAGGCAAGACCTGTTGATTTGGACAATCAAATGTGACCTAGGCATAATGCTATGGTCACATTTGCCGCGGCGGCCGTGCGGAAATAAACCATCTACGGCCAATAGCAATTATAGGGCCGCCGCAGCGACACGTACGACCTGCCAAGATAGGGATACGCCTAGGGTGACCCTGAGGCCATCGCAGATTCTCTGCGGCCGCCGCAAGCATATCTCGGTTTCGGGGGCGCCGTATCCTAGGCGTAGAGCAAATGTGACCTATGCATTATGAACGGTCTACGAACGCTGATTTCGTACTGCCTTCTTAAGAAGATCTTACGAAATGGTCTGAAAATCGTTTGTATGGCGTTCGTAGCAGTTCGTAATTGCATTTGTGGCCGAGGCTTTAAGGAAACTTCCCTTTAAAGACTGTCCATGTTTTGGGGAGCGAATGAAGGTTATGTCATAGTAAGGTATCCTACATGTTGGAATATCGTTAGAATTGTGTCAACCGTGAGTCACCGATTTGATCCCTGACGTGTACCGTTCGTACCTAGCTTGAACCCAACTGGCTTCGTGTCATTGTTTCATTCCTATGTAGGATTGGCTTTACTCATACCGGGAACTTACTTGTTCGTTATTTCAAAGTGAGACTTCTACCAACATCGACGCGATTTGTTTCCTCAGCTTCTTATAAATCGATGTTTCAGCTTCGTTCGAATCCTTTAGGGATGACACTTGGCTTCAATTAGCAGGATTTCAAAGATTTGGTAAGATTGTCTTTCAAAGTTACCATAGCCCATGAATATGTTGCCAATTGATCGACATTTTATTAAATTGACAAACTTCTAGTGTAATAATTTTGAAGGAATGTCTACTCTGTTATTATGACTATAGTTGAGTCTGAGTTATACTATTCTAAAGGAATTCCTGCCGTATTATCATGAATATAGATTGGTCTCAATTTTACTAACATGTCTCCCTTTTATTCCAGATCCGAAATATTAACAGCAAAGAGGAATGTTCTAGGTGGACAACATGCATTCGAGTCCAACGAAATATTTTACGTGGCTTATGTAAGTTACTGTCGGATTATGGTGTTCGATATACACAGTCATGATAACGGTGTATAAATCTTTAAATCAACCATCAACTGATTATCGCATTAAACAAAAGTATTGCATGATTTTTCTATGATTATAGCAGCAAATTACACATGAATAAATTCATTATGAAGATGCTTGGCACATTACATAAACATGAAATGAAAAACGAAGAGAGTGACCTCCTCTTTGGCATCATAGTCAGTTGTCAATTTGCCAAAAAGGCTGATTGGAAATTTTGTGAGGACGTTTTCGAAATAGGATGTCTCTACTTTAATAGACTATGAACTTTGTATCCAAATTTGAAAATGGGTTTAAAGTTACATGTCAGGCATTTTATGGTGATTTCGGTCTTTTGATGATTTGTTTAAGAACATTCTTTTCACAAATATTTAAAAATGCACATTTAGAAATTATATTAGGGATTATTTTAATGTAGAAATAATGCAGAAAATTCATGTTTATAGCTATTGTGGGCCTTGAAACATATTTTATCTCAAACGCTCTCTAAGGTGAATATGTGAAATTGGTATCTGTTTTATTGAGAGTTTGGATACTTTTCGACCTTGATCGACATGTATATTAGTGGCAAAATGTTGATATCAATCGCAAAGTTTATTGTATGCTTTATTTAGTAAATGTATTAATGAACAGATTGGTATGATAAGAACCATCACGAATATGTTAAAATATATAGAGAAGGGAAATGAAACTATATAAACACAAGGCCTTTTGTCAGTTCTGTGTTGTTGTTTTGTACGTTTTCAAAATAATACATCAACATATACATAAATTAACAATTATTTCTTCATTATACATAATTATCTTGAATGGGACTACCCGGCTTTTTATAACGAAAACATGAATAAATAAATAAATAAATAAATAAAGTATTCGGTACATTAAATATGATGCATACAAACACAAATATGTTTAAATGAAAAAAGATAAATTACAAAAAGGCAGGAGACCGCCATCATAAGCGGTAAACTCCTCTCTCTCTCTCTCTCTCTCTCTCTGTCTGTCTCTCTCTTTCTAGTTCATTGCACCCTCCCCCTCCTCGTAGCCCGTACTTAGTCATTCCTTTCTTTCTCGCTCTCCATGGTGACGCCAAATGCTTTATGATTATAATCATAGATATAAATTGTTCTTCACTATCAATATTGACTCGTCTGGCCATACTTTGGAGTTGTCGTGTTTAAGTGGTTCCTTAATTCAATCTACTCTTATATGATTAATGGTTCGATTGCCAGCCATTAACATGTTTTGGAAAGACGACGATCCATATTTACCACCCTCTACCCAGGTGTAAATGGGTAACTGACAATTGGTGGGGCAATAGTAACTGGGGGCCCGCAGGAAGAGCAGTATCAACCAAGTTGTCCTACCCTGGGTATATAAGGCCCAATTATTAATTTGTATCATTATTTATTCATTTTCAATTTTAGGGCCAAATAAAACATTGTGTGAGGAATACGGATCAGAAGAAATGAGATCATCTTCAGTCCACTTCAGACTGCCTCCTGACTTGTTCTTGTTCTGCTGCAGATAGCATGTGGTGGTCGACAGGAAGGAGAATATACCCGACTGTAAACACTCATCTCATTACACTAACTGACTTAAGTATATTATAGCTATAGCCATAAGACTGCCGATAGGACCGTTGGCTGAAAACCTTAACAAGATAATCCCCCGTCCTATCCCGATGATTTAATCCTGGTTTTTTAAAGACAGTTTATGATGACTGAAGAAGTTTAGTCAACCTTAATAAAGCCATTGCCCACTGGAACTGGTGATATATGTATTAAACCTATGGGGGATGTGCATTATCGCTAGTTAACGGGTTACATTTCTCAATTGGTGTACTATTGTTGTTTGCATTTTGTATCATATCAGTGCATATTCACAATGTCGGAATTTGAACGCAAAGTTTCACGCAATTTGCAGTGCCCCGTTTGTTTCGAGCTGCTTTGTGACCCGAAGCAGTTATCTTGTACACATACTTTCTGTAAGAAATGCCTTAATGATATTCTTAAAAGCTCTTCAAAAGAATCTCTAGCATGTCCTATCTGTCGAAGCGAAACATCTGTAAAGGGTGGCAATGTCTCGAATCTCAATACTAATGTTCCTCTTAAGTCTCTCATTGATGATGTGAGGAATAACCAACAAGTCTGTGAAATTTGTGACTTAAACTCGAGAGCTATACATTTATGTTGTGAGTGTGGTAAGAACATGTGTAACACATGCCTTGAGAATCACAACAAATGGCCGCCCCATGTCAAGCATAGAGTTGTGAGAATAAAAGACGTCAGAGAGGGAAGGGTGGTCCTCGAAAAAGAGGTATACTGCCAGGAACACAAAGCAGATAAACAGAAATACATCTGTACTGATGTGTGTGTCACCTGTAAGAAGTTCATCTGCTTGAGATGTCGAATGTTGTACCATGACAAGAAAGGACACACTGTTCAAGATGCTGAGGAATACAATGCTTCTACCAAGAAAAACATTGTATCTCTACAATCCCGAGGTAAGATGAAAGCTACAACCATAACAAAGCACGTGACCTGTATCAAGGCTCAGAAGAAGCGTGTCACGGATCACATTACCTGCAAAAAGGCTGAAATCAACAAGAGTTATCAAGAATCCCTCAAGAAATTAAACAAGAGGAAAGCAGCGTTAGACAAACAGTTGGATGCTCAGGTAGAGAAATTATGTAAAATATTGGATGAGATAAAAGATGTTGATGAAAGGTTTATTACGAGTATTGAGAGTGCCAGTGTGTTGGCGGGTAATAGCATGAAGGCTCCATTAGAAGGTGATATCATTGTTATTCGTGATACATTGTCTGGAGAGCTGAGGAATGTACTAGATAGGGCTGATCCAGAGAATAAGCTCGCCACGGATGTAGCTGATCGTGCAGAGCAACTGATATTCACACCTAACAATCAATATGATCAGTTGAACATTGGTCAGGTCAGGTTCATGAAATGTGAGTCGATATGTGATGTAGAACTCTCTAAAGGCCCGGTCACACAGAGAGGACGCATGGGGGACGCACGGCCGGCGCATGGGAAATTTGCAATTTTGGTCAGTGCGTTGTCGTTCGCTAGGCGTGCGTCATCACTCGTTACTCGCTCGTCGAGCGCGCTGGACCAACGCTGGACCAGCGCTATGCATTCGTCGTCATTCGCTGTGTGCGTCGGGATTTTTTGAGCATGCTCAAAAGTGTGCGCGGAGCTCGACGCATGAATGTACACGCCAAAGGCACGCCAGACGTGCGTTGAGCGCGCTAGACCAGCGCCAGACATACGCGGAGCACACGCCCTGTATATGCACAGCGCGCTAGCTACACGCTGTGCATTTTGTGTCAGCTCGCTAGCTTTTCCAAAATCATGACACACGGCCTTTTCCGATTTCCAATGCGCTGGCCGTGCGTCGTAGAACGCGGTGCATGCGTGGACCATTCGTCCAGCGCGCTAGCAACACGCTGTGCATTCGTGGAAGTTGTTATCATGTGCGCTCTGGGTACGGTCTGTATGCGCACTGTATGCGCCCTGTATGCGCTCAGCGCGCTAGCAACACGCTTTGAATTTGGTGACAAAAGTTGGGCGCACGACAACGCACTGGCCAAAATTGCAAATTTCCCATGCGCTGGCCGTGCGTTCCCCATGCGTCCTCCCTGTGTGACCGGGCCTTAAGAAAGGCAGCATGAACGGCATGGCTGCTACATCCGATGGGAGGATGGCGGTGGGATACAGTACTGGAGGAATCGATATCTTCTCTGCTGATGGTCAGCTGCATAAGACAGTCCTCAAGGATGTTGGTATCCGTGAAGTAAGATACCTGTCTGATGGTCGGTATGTCTTACTGAATAATAAAAATAACGTGACAATGTACACTGAAGAGTCAGAGAAGCTTAATGTAACGTTTGTTACTCTGAGTAAAGATGAAGGTGGGACTGGTAGTCTCACTGTAGACAGTAATGATCTTATCTATGTCGGCTACTGGATTGCCAAAAAGATCCAGGTGTTCTCACCAGATGGTGGGAAGGCGATCAGGGAGATACCATGCGATGGGTATACACCTGAGCAGATTAATAGTTATAATGACGCATTGATTATGAAACATGTTAATACAGTAAGAATAATTGACAAACAAGGTAATGTAAGACACACGGTAGAAAAGGTAAATGCTTACTCATTCGCTGCTGTGACCCGGAATAATTCAATTCTGATCGCTTGGGTCAAGCTTGATGATGGGTCGGTTAGTATCGATGAATACACCAGCGATCTGAAACACGTCCAGACTCTCATCTCTGATCACAAGATTGAGAAGCATGAGAGAAACTGGTACTATCTGCGCGAGTTCCGATCAGGGGAGATTGCTTTCTGTACTCCTGATATACTCTATATATTTAAACTAACCATCACACCATGCAGTCCATGAATGATAACAGTCCAGTATCAGGCGACTTCACAATTAAGAAATTATTGAAAATGTACAAATAACGTGATGTATTATGACTTTCAATTATTCTCTTGAAATAAAATAATGGATAGTAATATGACTAAATATCTAACTAAATTTAAAAGGTATGATACCGTGATGTGACGTGATGTATTCTGACTCTTAATGATTTTTAGGCAATTCCCTTGAAATACAAAATGCGTAACTATAACATGACATACGATTTAATTTAATTCGAGAGGTATGATTTCAATGAATTTTGTGTCAAGTTCTCTTTAACTGATATCCTGTCATATGCACGCATGCACGCTATTGTTACAGTGCTTTGTATGTGCGAGCAGGCTACCGCTCTGCTGCTTCTTGCGTGCAATGCAGCATTCGTGATAAATTGGATTTATACGTGTTTTTCTTATGCAAATGACTTTGTATAATTTGCATAAAACTGCCGTTAAAAATACGGTGAATGAAATGTAGTTCCTCGATGGATAAGTTTGTTTTGTTATCTTGAGGAAGAATTGTTATATTGTGAGTCTATGTAAAAAAGGAATAAGATTGCTTATAATGTGTAATAACTAATTTTTACTTCATTCAAAAGGTGTTTGTACAAGAATAGCAAAAAGAGGAAGGATATTTTGTTTATAGAATTGTGATAGGTCTTTGTATGTGGGCGCGGGAATCTGCCTGACATAGCAGATACGTAGGTACACATTGCATCTTTGTCATGGGCGAAGGAGGTTATGCGTGTGTCGGGCCGTCTGTTTAGCGTGCAACGCCCTCGTTTCTTTTTTCACCTTTGAAAGAAACGACATGCTAGCGAGGTTTGCTGGAAGCTGTCATAGTGTGGTCTGTGTTGTCTTTTGGGAGCCGGGAGCTGCTCCGGCTTGTATCTTCAGAGACCTTGGGGTTTCCTTTTACCGCTGATATATGCTGATGATCTATCAATAAATGGGCTCATCACCCAACCTACCATCAAACTGCTCTCAAGTTCTTTATTGCTGCCTTATCCGTATTACGACATTCGTAATAGCAGTTATTGTTCATGCCCATTGTATACTGTGCCTAGTGTTTTACACGCTCTATTGATAGTACCATCGCGTTAATCCGATTATCTCACAATTAACCTAGCACTGGGGGATTTGTGGCTTGGCACAATGGGGATTAGCCCTGTGGCAGGATAATAGTTAATTCGTGTTGTTTAACGCAAAAGAAACATTAGATGATCCCTTCCGATTCAAAGATTAGTAGCAAGAAATGTTCATTTTATAACATAAGAATGGGTGAGTGTGTATTGAAAAAGCCTTTTTCATCTAAAATAGAGCCAAAAAAAACGGTGATGCTCGTCATCTGGATTTAAATCATGATGTCAAGAAGTGTTTGTATTGTTTTTATTGATACACATCAATATTTTGTTTATAAACACAGAATGGATTATATTTATGATATCATTATATATATGTATATATATTACGTATATATATAACGTATATATATTGCGTTTATAAATATATATCCATGTATATAATATCACACTTGTGTTATATAAAAATGGCATAACAATTTAAAATATATAATTGAATACTACATTTAAAGTGTATAACACAACTATTGTGTCAAAAATCATTTAAAAGTAGACACAGATATAACAGATTCAAAAGCATGAACAAAAGATATTGTAACCAGAAACGTATCGAAAGTCGGATCATAATACCTCAATTGGGATCATGCAATATGTTTGAATGGTTAAATTAATAGCATGGTTTCAGAGACACGAAATGATCTGTTCCGTCGATCAGACCTAATCAATCGCAATGTAAAACTGGATTACCAATGGAAATGTATTGAGTCAATTCAGGTAAAACAGGCTGTAACACCATATTTCTCACCTTGTGGATCATATGTGTCCTCGATATTAAACAATTTGTGATTTTTAAGACATAAGGCCACATAAATAACGACAATGAATACATACGTAATATAACAAAAACTGTCCTTGGTTTTCATTTGACTAATATTTATGTCCCATCCTGAAACACAACGCCGTACCCTAACACGTTCATGTTACGTAAAATCGTCTTAAATTTACCCTTATGTCCTTATTCTTAATGTTAATGGGGTTAAATATATAATTAATGAAGTTCGAAATAAACTGTATTTGATGTATAACATAGATGCACCTTTTAAAATATATCATTGCAAGATACCATATATTAATATACACTTGCGTAGTATACATGCTTGCATTCTTCCGTTGGAAATGGCAATGTTTAAAGCAAAATGTTATGTTTTTATTATGTCATGCTTATCTCTCTATTTTACTTCTAATTTGTATAGAAGCTTGCGTTGAACCCGACTACAAGTTCATTTACAGAACCTGGATTTGATTATATGTACGTCGTAATTAGACCTATGAGATGATATCATTAGAGAATTATGTTATAGTATGATCTAGAGAAATAGAGCCGTTGTTATGGTTGGTCCAAGATAGTAGCATTTGGAAAGGCATTTGTTTATTTAAACAAAAATATAGGATAACTTTAAAATCTGTTTTTATTAAAGAGGAAATTAAGGTACTTTTAACTAAATTCCTGAAATAAATGTCACTACACTATACTCACATGCTGTAAATTGTCATACTTGTACAAATTCCTATCTATCCATTTTTATTTTTTTTATTGTTTTAGTTCTTTTACTCCTATTAATGTGTTAGAATGATATTTTAAATTAAGTAAGGTTAGTCTGCAAGAAGCTAGCCCTCGACATGTCGTTGGCCTCTGTCGGCTCCTCCACTCTGAATTTAGCTATTCATTTTAATTCATTTCTCACTTTTCAGCTTGTGTATACGTATAAGTAAATGAATATATTCATGTGTATATGTTCATAATTTGTATTTTCAAGTATATGCTTTTATTATTGTTATCTTTTTTATGAGTGGAAGTAAATCTGAAACTGGAAACATGAATATGTTTACGGCTATGACGCAATTTTTAATGGAAAAAAATAATAATAAGTATTCCAACTGATAGAAATTAGCTGCTTTGATGGAATTTCGCTGTCGTGTAAAAAAGATGGAAGCTTTATAATCATTTCAATGTATGTTTAATACATGTATACGTGGAGACCATCATGTGATTAACTTGTAAACATGTAACTCCGTCGTCTTTCAAAGTAGGCCTTATACACAAGGTGAAATGAAAAATACTTGTTTTTCTATTCTGTGTTGGATACAGTCATGTACGTCTATTTAGGTAGGATACCATCCCTGTATAATTATTTCATTCTCTAACTCAAGTTCTTGGAGAAATGACATTTGTATAGTGTTGAGAAAGTATAAGAGTTATACGTCAATGGTTTGGAGATTTTATTGTGGTTATTCCTTGGATAACATTTTTTACGTACAAAGAATGAGGAAGCTCCATAATTGTTTTTCATTTTTACAAGAAATCAGTTCCTCTTTGACCTTCTTTTACGGACTATGTATTTTTGTTCGTAATATGAAAAACAGAACAAGGAATATATATTCAAATGTATAGACAAATTTAATACAACTATAACCTAAAATGTTCTGTATTAGTATGAGCAAGTAAACGTATTCGGGACAAACTTATCAGTGATTATCTTGGAAAATTGCGAGCTGACCCATTTCATTACATTTTGTACACGCTTGATTTGTAAACAGGGTTTCATAAAACATGGTCAAATAGAATAGATGATAGTTAAATGTTTTAATGTCTGTTTGTATCAGTCTATATTTTGAGGAAAAATATAAAATGTATTATCTAAACAGTGTTGAATTCAAAGCAAGAATTTTGTCACTCTTAATGTAAGCATACTGATCTACTAGATATTAAGGTGCTACGTACTGCTGCTGCTGCTGCTGAAGATGATGTAGTACTAAGGCTTCTCCTACCTCCTTGGTAATACTCATTCGTGGTTACAATCTATTTTACAGATGATAGCATGCAGAACAAATAATTGCCGGTAATTCTGATAAGGGTGATGCCTTTTTTCTTTGTATTATTGTTGTATTTGTTTAGTTTGTTTTTTTATTTTTTATTAATTTGATTCTTGAAACAATAAACAATGAGGAGAGTCCTTATAAATAATACATAAACTAATACAGTATATATTAAGGCAGTGATGATGTTGATGTTGACGATGATTAAAGTGGTGTAGTATAATTGATTGTCTCTAGTTCTGATGTAAACGGAGTCGAATGAAGATGATGATGAAGATGATGATTATTTGTATTATTTATTAGGCCAATCATAAAAGCACAATACAATTATATATTGACAGATCATGCAATACATAAATAATACCAGAGGAAAAGGGAGGGAGCAACGTGTGGGCCAGGGCTTACAAAAGTAAAAGTCAACACTATTATGGTGGTGGTATTGGTACCATGACCTTTTTAAAACATATACTAATAACGTAGATTATGATATTGGTGATAAAATAAATGATGATAGTATACACAAGAACGATGGGCACGATGATAATGATGATGACAATGATGGCATTGACGATGGACATGATGATGATGATGATGATGACAGTGATCGCATTGACGATGGGCATGACGATGGACATGATGATGATGATGGCATTGATGATGGGCATG